CTGTTGTGAGTATAGAGCGCTTTCTTATTGATGAAGGTTTGGTCACAACCGGGCCATTGGCACCGAAACACGTGTTCCAGTGTATGCGTGTTTCGATGCAATTTCAACGCTTCCAACAGGACGAACGTGCGCTCACAACCCGGCCATTCGCACCGCAGTCTCAGTGTCGGGTCGTGACTGCGCCCGTGGATTCGCAACGCATTGCCAGTGCTGTAACGGACGGCGCATTTGTCGCACGCGTACGGCTTCGTGTGTTTCCTGCGATGCGCTGTCATCTCTATAACGCTCTTTGACCGGAAGCCACAGTCGGCCGCTTCCGAGCACTCGATCCACGGCAAGTGTGGCGCCGACTCCGGGTGTCGAGTGATGCTGTGATAAGTCATTTTGGATTTCATGTTAAACGCTTCGCCACAACCGGCGACCGGACACACGAATGACCGGACGGTGGAGTGAATCAACTTATGGCGAATCACTTCATACCTGAGGCCCGAAACATAGCCACAGCCCTCGTGATCGCACCGGTAAGTGGTTGAGTGAACGCGTACTTTGTGTCCGTTAAGGCGGTTCATAGTCTTGAATGCGGCCGCACAGCCGTCGCACCGATATGTGTCCACTGAATGTGTTGTCATGTGTTTCCGTAGAGAGCCTTTCACAAGAAAGGTTTTGCCGCAACCGTCGAAATCGCACGCAAACCGGCCGTCGGCTGTTGTCCGATAATTTATGGCTGCTTTTTGGCCACTTTTCGGCACTGTTTTGGATTTGACCGTAGAGAGCCTTTCACAAGAAAGGTTTTGCCGCAACCGTCGAAATCGCACGCAAACCGGCCGTCGGCTGTTGTCCGATAATTTATGGCTGCTTTTTGGCCACTTTTCGGCACTGTTTTGGATTTGCAAACTCTTCTTCTTTTACTCTTGTAATCGGTGTCCGAATTATCACTGTTTTGATCATCGCTTTCGTTACACATATACTCATCGCTGTCTTCCTCACCGGTTATTGTCTTCTCGTTTTGACTGTCATTCACGTCTTCGTTATTGTCGTGTGTTTTCTGGTGTTTGGCCAACACTTCACGGGTTTTATGGAAAGCAATGACCGAAGAGACAGAACTAATCATTAATTGATTGCAAATTAAATTGTATTTCAAAAACACATTTCACTCACCGTTTGATCTCTTGTTTGGCAAACCATTGATTGCAATAAAACTCTGGTTTTCATTGAAATCAATCAATGAATTGATGTCTTGTTTCAGATCTCCGTTTAAATCACATTTAATTTTGTTATGAATTATAATATTTTGTAAATAATGTATAAATTGTTGAAATCTCGATAAATCTGTTGACAAACAATTGATTTCTCGTTTCAATTCATTTACACATAAATACAACTCATTTCGCGTTAATTGCGATAAATCCGCAAAAACTTCACTCATTTTTAATTCATTTTCACTTCAATTCAAATCACATTTAAATTCATTTAATATTTTTTTCAAAACATCAAAAGTTTTTTGAATACTTTTGTGAATAAAAAAGATCACAAAAAACTCAATTGAATTCACAATTGAATAGAAAAACAAATATTTGGAAATTCATTGAAAACTTGCATTCATTTCAATACAATTCGCCACAAATGGGGTCTCAAAAGAGTGGCCGAAATAGTGGACGTAATTACTGTTCAAACGCTTACGAAATGCAACACAAATCAGGATTTCGATAGCAATCAGTGTTTTGTGTTTTGTGTTTTGTGTTTTGTTTGCCATTTAATCCCAAATCACGTGTCTTTCCGGTAAAGCGGATCCACAGATGGCCGCCAACATCAACCACAACAGCAATGTCTCGCCGCCGCTCTCCACATACCAACACCTGATGAGTCGATCCCAAGAACTGAGTTATGTGCAAGGTTTGTCTCTTTCCCTCTCTTCGCCCGCAACTGATCCACTGCTTCCGTGACAGCCCTGAAGACGCATCAGATGACGCGTTTGGATCACATCCGCAACGAGACCCAGAAGTTGGACAACCATTTGACGGCTCTTCGCAAAGACGTGCAACTCTTGGAGAGCCAAAGACGGCGCACGACTGCCGACAAGTGGACAACTCAGGTGACGGCTCTGCGCGAAGACAACCGCGCGCTGCGCATCGAATGCCACTGTCTGTCGATGGAAGTGGATTTGTACGCCTCCGGAGGAATGCCTTTGGGCGTCACCGACGAGAACTTCTACAAGAATG